TGAGACAAGCAAAATATATTTCAAACACGGGTAAGTCAATGTGTCCGTCAATCAACTCGATTGTAAATTATATTTTATTGATCTCCCCAAATTTCCCAAGTTCCGAGTTCCGAGTTCCGGGACCCCCGAACCCCGAAACCCGAAACCCGGCAGTCCACAATTTCGGGGTTCGGGTGATTGACGGACACATTGACTTACCCGTGTTTGAAATATATTTTGCTTCTCTCACATACCGAGTTCCTAGTTCCGGGACCCAACTCCCGAACCCCGAAATTGTGGACTGCCGGGTTTCGGGTTTCGGGGTTCGGGGGTCCCGGAACTCGGAACTCGGAACTTGGGAAATTTGGGGAGATCAATAAAATATAATTTACAATCGAGTTGATTGACGGACACATTGACTTACCCGTGTTTGAAATATATTTTGCTTGTCTCACATACCGAGTTCCTAGTTCCGGGACCCAACTCCCGAACCCCGAAATTGTGGACTGCCGGGTGTCGGGTTTCGGGGTTCGGGGGTCCCGGAACTCGGAACTCGGTATGTGAGACAAACATATATTTCATACACGGGTAAGTCAATGTGTCCGTCAATCAACTCGATTGTAAAGTATATTTTATTGATCTCCCCAAATTTCCCAAGTTCCGAGTTCCGAGTTCCGGGACCCCCGAACCCCGAAACCCGAAACCCGGCAGTCCACAATTTCGAGGTTCGGGAGTTGGTAAAATTTGTATGGATAGATGAAAGGTTGATTTAAACATTTTTGAAAGATGTCCCATATGAAATGTCAAGTCCCAAGTTTTGATTTCCGGCTTTCTGGAGTCCCGAGTCCCGAAGCCCGAAGTCCCGACACCCGGAGTCCCGAAACCCGGAGTTCAAAATTCGGGACTTAACATTTCATATGGGACATCTTTCAAAAATGTTTAAATCAACCTTTCATCTGTCCATACACATTTTACCAACTCCCGAACCTTGAAATTGTGGACTGCCGGGTTTCGGGGTTCGGGGGTCCCGGAACTCGGAACTCGGAACTTGGGAAATTTGGGGAGATCAATAAAATATACTTTACAATCGAGTTGATTGACGGACACATTGACTTACCCGTGTATGAAATATATTTTTGTCTCACATACCGAGTTCCGAGTTCCGGGACCCCCGAACCCCGAAACCCGACACCCGGCAGTCCACAATTTCGGGTTTCGGGGGTTGGTAAATCTCGGTTTGGGGTTTTGCACTGAAAAGTTGACATTTATACGTATCCAGGCTCACCCATATATGTACCCATCTATGTACAATTCCCCCACGTCAGCCCACCCATCTATGTATTATCCCCCACGTCGGCCCACCCGTCTATGTAATACATCCTATGTTGGCCCACCCGTCTATATAATACATACTACGTCGGCCCACCCGTCTATATAATACATACTACGTCGGCCCACCCGTCTATATAATTATACCCCACCTCGGCCCACCTGTCTATGTAATAAATATTTTATCACACCCTCGGCCCACCCGTCTATGTAATACATCCTATGTTGGCCCACCCGTCTATATAATACATACTACGTCGGCCCACCCGTCTATATAATTATACCCCACCTTGGCCCACCTGTCTATGTAATAAATATTTTATCACACCCTCGGCCCACCCGTCTATTTGATATCCCTTTCGTCGGCCCACCCGTATATGTAATACTTTTTATGTCGGCCCACCTGTATATGTAATACACCCCGCGTCAGCCCACCCATCTATGTAATATTCCCCTACCTCGGCCCACCCATATATGTAATACACCCCTGTCGGCCCACCCGTCTATATAACAATATTTGCCTTACATCTCTCTTCAGCCCAGCTGTCTATAATATCCTACTCTACATATTACCCTGATGGGCCCACCCATCTCCATGAATGATCATATTCCCCCGGCCCATCCGTCAACATCAAGGATATATATATCATTGGCATACATGGGCCCACCCGTCTCCATCGGAAATAATATGTGTCCCGGCCCATCCGTCATCATCGAGAATATACACAACATGGGCCCATAATCCGCTGGCCCGTCTCATACGGGATATTATGTAGGTCGGGTGGCCCGTATAATACGGAATTTGTCACTGAAGGGGCTCAACGCCGTGTTCCACAGTTGTAAGATCCGAGATCCCCGAAGATCTACATTTTTTGAGATAATATCTACATACAAAGGATTATGCGCCATGGGATTTGCCAAAAGCTGCCATACTCATGACATCGCAAGATAATATATACATATATTCTACCTCCTAGCAACATGCCACCACCTTAAGTGCGCTCTAGACATGGTCAAGATACACAAGACAATCAGCTGATATATACATATGTTCTCCCTTCTGGACATGTTTCATCGATGCTGCCTACTCTGGTGAGTGTCATTACCAAAACGAACAGGGAGATGGATCAAACCTTAAGTCTGCTTCTTGACACGAAAAAAATCCTTCAACGTAGGCTTTTCCAAGCGCATCTCTCTGTATAATACATTCATGTGAATAAAATATTTGATACGCTGTGTCATCACAGAAATAAATATAAGTCGATGAACAAGAATAAATGACATACACGTTGACGATGTTGAATGGAATGATTGAGCAATGACTGTTGTAAGCTGGACAACTCTTGATCGTCTGGTATATTGGGAAAGTGAACCACGCGTTCAGGCCAAGTTGCGAACCACTGGGAAAAGAGGTTCTCCCAAAAAGTTTCTTGCTCCTCCAATGAGCCGGAACGAACAAGTGTGAACCCAGACAGAAATGTCTTAAGCATGTCGCGTTGGCTGTGCGTGAATACTCGAGTCTGTGACATAGACATAGTGCGAGTAAGGGTAGAGAACTCACCCTGTGGACAAGGGGGTAGATTAAGACTTTCACGAAGCCACTTCTGCAGAGAATCAGCATATGACAACAAGTGTAAGCGTGAGTGCCATCATGTTTGAGGATCCGCACATCCACCACAATCAGTAACCCACCACACCTTGAGAAGTGCAACGTCCTGAAATGTCCTGAGAAGCTCTGAGAAGTGCAACAAAATATATCCCAAAAATCAAAGCCTCCACGCACGATGTGTTTGAGCCAGAGACCTGTAGATACTTCAACTATGAGTGCAAGTAATAGGGCGGAGGTCCAGTGTACGAACATCGGCCTGCTAATAGAGACGAGTGTGACAGAAACGCCCTTGAAGAAGTTCTTCAGCTGCTTGAGCTGCGGGGAATCTAGGCGGAGGTCCAGTGCACGAACATCGACGAGTGTGACAGAAACACCCTTGAAGAAGTTCTTCAGCTGCTTGAATTGCGGGGAATCTAGGTGGAGGTCCAGTGCACGAACATCGACAAGTGTGACAGAAACACCCTTGAAGAAGTTCTTCAGCTGCTTGAACTGCGGGGAATCTAGGCGGAGGTCCAGTGCACGAATGTCGTCCTGCGTCGACAAGTGTGACAGAAACGCCCTTGAAGAAGTTCTTCAGCTGCTTGAGCTGCGGGAAATCTAGGCGGAGGTCCAGTGCACAAATGTCATCCTGCTAATAGAGACGAGTGTGACAGAAACGCTCTTGAAGAAGTTCTTCAGCTGCTTGAGCTGCGGGAAATCTAGGCGGGGAGTCTGGGTGGAGGTCCAGTGCACGAATGTTGTTCTGCTTTAGAACCGTGACAGCACTGCCAATTCATATGAGTGTTAATGCATAGTAATTGAGAGACAACTTACGAGCTTGCAGGTACACAGGCGGATAACCAGATGGGAAGAATAGACTCTTGATTGTGTCAATTGAAAACGTCCCGAAGTTTAATGCCTATAGTCGCCAAATTGTCCCGAAGTGGCTGTAAGCTGTAATTAGTCTCACTTACACACTTATGGGACGCAAACGCAAGACATCACTAGAGCGGCAGAATGCACGCAAGCAGTCAAAAGATCGTCACTATTATCGGTGAGTGCTATATCTACAAATCCATGTTTGCCTGTCACGATGCTATTCTGATTGTGCTTTAACTAACATCTCACAAGTCATTCAGGACATGAACGAAGGAAGTCTCGACGGAGATGGCGGAAAAAGCAGGGGGCCAGTGAGGTATGTTCAAAGAGAACCACCACTTGGATATACTCATGTCATTCTGCACTGTACAGGCTACACTAAATGCCCACGAGATGCTAGATTCGTTGTGGGCCAGTACATATACAGGTTGCCGCACCAATACAGGATGTCAAGACCGGGTTATTGCAGTACTCCAGGAGGTAGATAGCGTAGAGTGGGACAGATTCAGACCTCGTTTGGAGGGAGAATTAACGGAAGCACGAGAATTAGCCAAGAATGCTGAGGTGCTTGTACACTCCGTGGCAGATCTCGATGGTCCTTGCTCAGGCAAGCTCCAAACCGAATGCCTTCGACTTCTTCACAGGACACAGTTGTGGGTGGCAGCTGAAGAGGAGATAATTCATTTGATGGATCAAGGGCAGGAGATACTCGATAACGCTCTCTGCGAGAACAAGCTCATTTGGCAAACGGAGTAGATTATCATTTTATCGACATTCATATCACAAAACTCAGTTCATAGAAGCGATGCAGATACATGAACCATAGATACACAAACCGTATACTTTCACACCCTGACAGCAGTGCCATCCTCAATCGCAGACTTGACAATCGCAATGCCTTCCTCCAGAGAGTCTGTCTTAGCATACAATGCACAACGCACACCGGAGACCCAAGGGCCAGTCCTGTTCCTGTCCAACAGCGAATCATATGATTATTAAATAAGGCACTTGAAAGGACAAACTTACCATCCGGAGAAGACTCCAAGTTTTCGGCTTTTTGTGATGTAGTAGAGGTTCACTCCGGCTTTAGGATCCACAGGGACATTGAAGTACGTGCCCTTGTACACGTTGAGAACACTGCCGGTAGCCAGAGCAGCATCCATCTCAGCACCTTTGTCCACTCCATCTACAATGACAGTAGGGGTGGAGTTTGCTTTGGCAGCAGCGGTGAGGGCGGAGTTTGCTTTGGCAACAGAGAAGGTGGGGATAGAGTTTTCAGCGAGAGATTCACCAGTGACTGAAGACACTGCTGTGGCTGTCTGTGAATCCGCGGTGTCCGAAGTAAGATCTTTATCGGCACTGTCAAAGAGAAGGTTTGAAGCTAGTTTAGCACGGTCGGCGGAGGACAGATTGAGCGTTGATAGTAACATCACAAGAGCCTCTGATTGACATCTAGTCAGTACTGCAAGACGGAAGCATAAATGTAAACTTGCCTAGTGTGTCCTTGTTTCCAGCAGAAGCTTCCGCGTGATCTGACGCATTGGTAGTCATCTGGAGTAGTTGATTGATATTTGCTTGAAGAGAGTAGTATACGAGTAAAGTTTGTATAAGATGCAGGCTGTTGAAGACTCACCTTTTATGCATGCTGACTGTGCTTTCCGAGGACTGGAGAATCTTAGGTGTCGTCCGACTGGTCAAGGATAGAAGCGTTCAAGACATGACAAACAAAAACAAACAACTAGTAATATCATCCTATAGGTGACATCATTGTTATGTACTCAATATTGCGCGCCCCAGTAAGTCCAATCAGATGCACGTCCCACCCCCCAATAGGTCCAATAGTCCGCGGGCTCAACACCAGTCTCGCGCAGCTCTTTCTTGACTATCTTTTGCATTTCCCACAGCAAGAAGCACTTGATATGCTACGCATCAGGTTATATCAGTAAGTTAATATCCGAAGTTGTGCTGGAGTACTTACTACACGATGCTTTGCACAGTTCTATGCCCATTGCATATGAGATGGGGGTATCTTTTTCGACATCGAAATCAGGCCAAAGGAACTCGCACAGTGGCCATCTCTGGTCATACTCCTCAAGTATGTCGTCGATCAATAGGTCAGTCTCCTCGAATCCTGGCTTATTCTTTCTATATTCAGGAATTTTGGTGCGTAGGAAATCAGCTTTGGCCTGACGTTCTTCCATCTGAACCTGTAATTGGTTAGCAATGGTGTTGATGAGGTACAGGTCTGCGCATGCACCTTGTGAATGAGGTGAAAAAGTCGAAAAGTCGTAGTTTAGTTTTCAATATTGGTGTTCGAATGGCTTATGTATCTATTTGACACGAGAATCATATTGTTGTATTTTGTGCTACAGGAGAGTCGCGAATTGTGCGAATTGATCAGAGAAATGGTATTGCTATTTCTGGCAACATGCGCGATTCACTCTTGTGCTGTTGGCTCATGGGTGTGACAAGTTCTCTAGATCCCCCCTTGCAACGGATTGAATGCATCAAATGCAGCAGAAAAAGGTTTCAGGTGTAAGTCCTCTCACACATCATTTCAGAGATGTTACCTAGAGGCTCATTAATACCTAGCAATAGTCAAACGGAATCTGGCTTGACACTTCGACAGGTCAACAATCGGAAACGGCAATGACCCAGCAAGCTGAACTTATATGTAGCACCTGCATTGGGGTCTCGGGAGACGGCACACACATCTTTCAGATTTGGAGGTCTTCGAGATGGGAACATGCGGGTATCTAGTCAGCGTCTTCTCACTCGTTCATCGCCTCTGTCTACATCCCAGCTTGCTCCAACTGTACTACTCGACGATGGGGCCGAGTTTGATTCTGCAGCTTTTGACTATCCTTCTATGTCCATGGAAGATGAAACTTTACCCCCAAAGCGCAAGCGCACAGCTGGTGTAAGTACTTACTCACTCTCATGTTATTGTTCTTACTTATTGTCTATTCAGGATAATCCTCTGCTCATTTGGTTAGGCGAACATGATACATATCTTTTGGAGATCATTCGATTAGACGGACGTGGGGACAATCGTGGAGATGTATGTGCAGGCGGCTGTGGCTCTGATCCTGGACAGTTCCGATGTGAGGATTGTGACGACATGCAGCTATACTGTGCTATGTGCACACTGAGAAATCATGTCCGGTCTCCCTCCCATCGCATACAGGTACGTGATTTATTGACAGAACACAAATATATTAATCCATGTGCAGGAGTGGAACAGCATGTTTTTCCAGGTTACCTCGTTGAAGAAGTTGGGACTTCATATCCAGCTCGGGCATCCCATTGGTCAACGTTGCATTCTCCCGCAACAGGCATTCAATGACGACTTCGTGCTGATAGATACGAATGGAATACATGAAATTGCATTGGACTTCTGTGGTTGTGAGACGTCTCAAACGCACGTCAAACAACTGCTTCGCCACAGGTGGTTCCCTGCAACGTCAACAGATCCAAGGACGGCTGCGACATTTCGGCTTTTGCACCACTATCAGATACTGTCGTTTGAATCAAAGGCTTCTGCATATGAGTTTTATCACTCGCTCGTGCGTCTCACGGATAACACAGGGATGACGAAACGAAAGGTACATTTATATTTGCCTACTACCTCCAAGTATCTCATTATCTCCTTTAGGATCGTTATGAAGCCTTCATGCGGATGGTTCGTGAATGGCGGCATGTCACAATGTTGAAATCTCATCACACACTCGGCAGATATATTAACATGGACTTTCTGTTTTTTTCAACCTTACGTGGCACACAACTCCAAATGTTGAATGTGTCATACGATATCGCGTGCCAGTGGCACAAAAGGCTCTGGACACGGATAAAGTCCTTCCCTCAAGCTTACGGTTTGGACCACTTCATAAAAACTATTCGCTTCTTCGTGCCAAAGTTTCACCTCCCCGCACACGTTACAAAGTGTCAGACCCTTTTCTCTTTCAATTTCATGCGTTTCGTTGGCCGCACAGATGGCGAGGCCCCAGAGAGAGGGTGGTCAAACATCAACCCCGTGGCCTCAAGTACGAAGGCAATGGGGCCTGGCTGCCGTCGTGATACGCTCGACGACTATTTTGGAGATTGGAACTGGAAGAAAACTGTTGGCTTTGGCGCGTCTCTCCTCCTTAAGATGAAGGATACCCTTGCCGAGAAGGCTGAACACGAGATGGCATTCGAAGAATTTGACACTGTTGTCACTCCGGACCATCGCTCCACATGGTTGGCAGAGATGGAAGTTTGGGAAGGTAATCCCAACAACATGAGTATCCCTAATCCGCTGGAGGCTAAAGCTATGTGTGAGTATGGTACATAATTCTATGGATATTTGACTAACAATCATTCAGCCATTACACAGGCAGGCGCATGCCTCAAGCTCGCTGAGCTGGAGGCTGAGGAACTTCAGTGAGGCATCAACCCCTCTTTACATCCGCAAATCTCCCCTAGTGTTCTCATTGCCTCTGGCATAGACCTTGAAGAGGAACAGTAAGTAATCTCCCTCGTATTGTCATGATTACACTAAGGCACCCAAACTCTTCGTTCTTTTACATGGCATGCTATTCACTAACATCCAACTTGATGACTTCTTGCCAATAATGGATTCTGTAAGGCGTCGTCTGAGCACTACCGTCGAGTCCTTGGGTCTTCATGTGACCGATACGCAAAAGGCCAACATTGTACGATTACGGAACTCACTCTATCGTAAAATCAATACATGGAGATGCGCCCAAGTCCTATACCTACCCGTGGTTCAAGATCTTATCAATCAGGCAGCGTGCAACGTTCAAGAGAATGCCGAGTACATGAAGCTCTGGCTCCCTTCGCAGCTGAGAGGCAAACCATGCGACACGTGCCTGCAAAACGACGAGTGGGAATTGCGCTATGCTCAGGCATATGATGCCCTCGAAGAAATTCGTCAGTGCTTGCGGATACATTGCTCTCTGCTTATGTTCAAGAGAGAATGGATCTGCGGGCAAGGTTCAAACACGCGAGCACAGAATGCTCTCGCTCGTGTCCATGGAAGACGGACTGCATGCGTAAAGCAATACAGATCGGCATGGGTGGCACTCAATGTTCTAGCTACGGTTCTGAAGAAGAAGGATTGGCGGGGTAGGTTACAGGAACTGGTGGACGATGATATCAAACCCCTGGTAGATCCTTTCGCTACTGGTGAAGGTAGACGTCAAGTCTCATGGATCTGGATGATGGAGGGCGTCAATCGCGGTAATGACGGGGATACTGATGGTCAGTATTTTTTTCACTTCATCCTATTTTCACTGATATGCTGCAAGGTGTACGTATCGAGTGGTGCAAGAGTCGTGCAAGAGCACTGCGGTGGGCAGAAGAGGTAGAGTTGCTGAGGGAAGAGATGCGCAGAGTGCTTCAGTTTCTTGCCTGGCAGGCAGCGTGGTGGGACGGACAGGGAAATCGGCGCGTTAGAGAGTGTGCTGCGGAAACCGAAGGTTTAAAGGCATATGCTGCCCGGCAGGCAAATCTCCGTCGCAGGCTGGGAGGGCATTTTTGCATGCTGTGGGCACCTCATCTCTCAGCGCAAGCTCTTGATGAACTTACTACTCTCGCATCCATCAACGTGTCACCCGAACTTTCATTGCCGGACCTCACTATACCCGACATCCCCTAGCATCCCCTAGTCTGCACTGTGCCTGCCTACCCAATCTAGTGTACCTTTGTATGATGTCATTTGTGAATATACTGGCTTCCGTCGAATGCAGAATTAAGTGGCCGAGAGAATACCGGCTTCTAGAACTCATTCGTGCTTATACTGGCTTATTAGAGCATACTACCGGCTATTAGTAGTACATATGCTATGCTAGGCTTATTAGAGGTCTGCTAGTTAGCATGGTTTGATGCATCAAAAAGCATGCTAATGAGCATATTTAATGCATTCCTCGTGTCTTGTAGTTAGCAGACTCAATGCATTATAGCTACAGGGACTGGTGACCGTAGACTTGACCATTCAAGGTGGTACCACTAAGTGTCTCTGTCATTTCTCGAGCCTCTTTGGGAAGTCTAAGGAACCTGCTATTTGGTGTTGCTGAAGCGAGCATAGTTCGGTCGTTTCTCGAGCCCGTTCTCAATATGTTCAAGACACGTTTGCTAATGCGAATTTCCATCATTTCTGGAGTCTATTTTGGAATAGTCGTGACACGATTATGTAAGTGACTGACAGCCCAGGGATTAGTAAGTGTCTGACTGCGCGCGTTGTCTTGTTACTTAAGGGTCTTATATAAAAGTTGTGTATAATGACAACACAATTATACACAGGGAAGACTTCTTGCCAGTCCTTAAGTCCACGGTCTCCGACTTTTCTACTTCGTGGGAGGTAATGTGGTGAGTTCTTGGGAGGATTTAGTTTGTTGTCCTCTTCTTGTGTAGTCTGATACGAAGTGTTGTGGAATGTTCTGTGTTCTGGATAAATTCGTTAGGTTTGTTTCAGCCTAGTAGGTCGTGTTTCAACCTATGAAAGTCTGTTTCAACTTTGTCGTCCTTTGATATGTGTCTCACTTTCCGTTGAAAGAGAGAGTCTTATGTATACACGTAAAGCTTAGAATGAGAGCTGTTCGATGGTTATATAGTCAACCCCTGTAAGGTAGTATATAACCTAGAGTAGAATAACGATAACGAAAGTTATATAGTCAACCCCTGTAAGGTAGTATATAACTTTAGAATAGAATAATGATGTGTCTTAGTCTTACTTCAAGGCACGTTGCCTGCACTTTTATTCTTACATACTCTCACACGGTTTGAGAGAAGAATGAAAAATGGGAAGTTATATTTCATGGGTGAAAATGGGGTCCTTTTATACCTTTTGGAATCCCCTTACTAAGCATGATTCTGTCAGATGGATTGGTAAGAATGTGGCTTACAAACCAGGTGATGAATCAGCTTTTACTAATATACATTATAAATACTGTGTAATCTTACAAAGAAATTACAAAGCATGACAGAAAGGTGCTGACTCTTCTCAGGGATTGGTCATGCAGAAGCTGACAAACCAAGCCTTTGGGTGAGCTGAATCATCCTTCTTACTAAGTACATTACAAACAAAGTTCAGTGTCTTACAAAGAACTTACAAAGCATGATCAACCATGACTGAACATGTTGAGTCATGTTTAAATGTTGTTACAAAGCATGACCAATCATGACTAAACATGTTGAATCAGCTTTAATAATGTTACAAACCAGATTATTTCCCAGTCACATGATGTGATGACAAATAAAATCTGGTGGCTGAAAGAAGCCAAATAAAAGTAAACAGTCAGACATAAACAAAGAGATACAAAACTTTGACAAACAAATCTGTGGCTGAAAGAAGCCAAATAAAAATAAATAATGAGAAATAAACAGAAGGTCACATGCTCATAAAAATACAAGGTAAAATAAGTCTGAGAAATAAAATACAAGACAATGAAATAGAGGAAAAATAGAGAGGTAACTCAGTGACAGAGGGCTAGACAGTCTCTCATATCTTCCTTATCACTCTCTATATATATCTGACATGGTATGAATCACATACCATGCATGACAGCGTCCAGGCCATGACGTCATGGAATCAAAAGCAGCGGGCAACAATATGATAAAGGTCCAGTGTAAAGAGCGGGTGATGGCAGCCTTGCATTTTCTCGCCATGTCACAATCTCGGTCGGGCGCTCGACAGGAGACTCGTCGCTCTCCTACTAGTCCTAACAATCCACTCTCTTCTACTCATCAGCGCACTCGTGCACAAACTGCTGCATATCTGCTTGGTATCCGTCCAGAACTACCCAATGTCAATGATGAAGAGGTCAGTTGCATGAATGCAGTTCAGATATTTTACGAAGGAATGGCCGACCAGCCAATAAAAGAACTTACCGCAGAACAGTACCAGGACACTAAGCTCGACAAAAGTAAGTGAAGCCCATCCATTGACTTGGCAGGTGGGGATACTCACAGCGGAGTTACATAGTCGAGTTCCAAGTGCCGTTGCATACAACGGATACGAACAAATCAACCACATACGTGGACAGGTTACATTCCGAATCAGAGTCTCAACAGGACATTTTTGACTCCATTAAGGCGACCATGGATGTTCCAGATAAATATGAACACTTAGGCTGGCGGTTGTCTACCGCCTGCCGCACGGATCCCCCCCACCGGCTTTTGACTGTGCATGATATTGATAGTGCATTCAGGGATGCGAGGGCGGCCAAGACCTCTGGGAGACAATGTAAGAAGATCGCCATTGTAATCATCAATACGGTACGTGTTTAGATGCATGCAAGTAATTTGCAGGATATGACGTTACCTTACAGAAACCCACACCAAAAGAAAAACCAACAAAACAAAGGACAAGCATATCTTCTGCAAGCGAGCAGGGGCTTTTACCGCCCGGGATACTCGTGATCTCCGACGAGGCACCTGTCGGACAACAAGGAAACTTTTTGCCTCAATCGCTGAAGAGGACGTATGCACTTTACCTGGATAGCGATGAGGAATCCAGTAACGACGAACCGTCGCAAAATATCACGGACGTCATGACGAGTATCCACTCTCGCTATCCTGCCATGAACTTCCGTCAATATGATGGTAAATTGAAAGATCGTGGCATATTGTACCTGTCGACTGCAGCTCATTTTGATGAACATTCTCGTCGCCAAGTTTGGAGTGAAGAAATCAGATGCAGATATTCCAAGGGTGCTGAATAGAAACAGGAACAAAAGCACTAGCTTAACCGGCGAAAATCAGAGGTCGGAAAGGGTGCGGGGGTACAGAAGTGTCCTAGTATGGTAGGAGAAGGTACTAGTAACATGCCTCAATATTAGTCAAGTTCGTCCGGGCTTTTTACTAGAATTGGTATGTGAACGTTACCTAGTAGTAGTTGTAGGGGTAAAAGTATAGGGCAGACAAATATACAGCCGTACAAATACGGCTTGCCTCTAAAACTTCATTAGTGTCTGATTTCTGATATACTACATGCATTTCAAACATCGTCATTCCCGTGGTTATTTGTTGCATGATATAGCGGTCATCTGGCACATCAGATCGAATTTGTAACACATCCACAACATCAACAGCATGTTACATAAACATACACTTAATAAATATCCAACTCCAGAAGGGTTCTGTATTATGATCAGGATTATACGCAATGTCGATGTGATGATAGCTCACCTAGCTATCAAATTCAACCTCGGAGTCCGAGTCGGAGGACCCCCCTTCCATATGAGCATCGTCCTCAGGCAGGCTTGAGTCATCGTCCCCGGGAAGACTGGAGTTGCGTACGAGACATTCCGACATGTGACCAAGTTGGACATCAGCCACAATGAACAATGTGAGATCGCGGCTAAATGTGCTGATATTAAAGTCACACTTGTCTTTGAGGTCTGGCAAGGTACGTCCAACCAACATCTTTTTGAAAGATGAAGCTTCTTTGGCGCTTTGGACATACTCTAGAGCATCCTGCTCGAGAATCTTTTCAAAAAGCTTGGTATGTTGAACTGATGACTCTATCTCCCAAGCCGTCGTCAGGGCATGTAAGCGCTTGCATTGCAACGACAGCTTGATTGGTGGCCTCGAGAGACATGCCTCTCATGCCATGCTCGAAGAGCTCTTTGCCCTGATATCACATGCTTATCAGTGTGAAGTTATATCATTAAAGCCCAACATACCTCTTGAACATCAATCAAATTTAGTTTAGTCTCGCTGGAGTACTTCCTGACGGTCCTTTGAAAAAAATGGAGTTCTATTGCATTGGGCCCGTGGCCATGGCGCCTGTCGTAAGGCTTGAACTGTCTCTTGGCGCGTTGCACATAATGAGACAAGTTTTTCAGGTGAGGAAGGTGTGCAAGGGCGTAAAGCTCATCTTCTGACAACTCAGAGGTGTCTGATGATGGTGATAATGGTGGACGACCAGTGAAACGCCCGGATGATGCTTTCGTGTCATGATGGGACAATTTTCTCTCGGCGAGATTTGGGGAGTTGGAGCCAGGTGTCTTAACATTGCAAGACGTAAGTCGATAAGATTCCACACTGTCCCCAAGAGTGGGACTAAGCCCTCCGATAGAGCTTGGAGGAGTAAGACAGGCAAGCATACTTGACATGGCAGCAGTCATCTGTGCGTTGGGTGATTATTATGGGGAAATAAAAACTTGAAGTGAAAGTTCAACAACAGGATAGGCGCTCAGGTCCCAGTCTAAGCCGCTTTGGGATTGAAATACCATCCTGTTTGGGTACCTGCGGTCAGCAACGATGTATTAATTTCAAGAAGGGATAGAAGTTACTCACCTCATTTTGCTGAAGAATCTCGGCTGAAATAGTACTTCATGGGCCGCCATCGCAATGATAGGTACTCGCCTCATTTTGCTGAAGAATCTCAGCTAAAATAGTACTTCATAGGCCGCCATCGCAATGATAGGCACGTAAACGCTAGCCTATACCAGTATGGGATTGAAATATTCCTTCCATTTGGACAGGACATGGCTGCGGCCCTACAAATACGTCAAACAACATCAGTAAACCGGTGAGTTCTTGCTAAGGATTATTATCTTCTTCTCACAAGTTCTATGAAGAAGGACTTACTTCGTGTCACGTGGGTGCACACTGCACACATTACTCGCACTGACCTGGGGCGCAATTGGCACTGTTACGGTATTTTACTCAGCTAACTTTCTACGCTCACACAAGCTCACGGTGTAGGATATTACATGCAGCCTAATTTAAAGTTACAATTTTGAATGTAAAGGGCCGCTCGAAAGGATGACACCACAAAACCCAAGGCTATCCTGCCATATTGGAACAGATCTACTAGTCATCGATGATCAAGTTGCACCGAAGGCATGAGTCACTCAACCTCATTCAGACTGAAATACTCTCCGTATTTTGCAAGGTTATAATGCTGTGATCCCTATGATGGGGATATCAGTTTATTTCCCATCGAACTTAGAAGAATAGCTGATGCGGACTGACTTTTCCCCCGCATTCGAGTATTTCAAAATCGAGGTCACCGTGATGAGGTACGACAGTTCGGAACCTTTCAGAGTTTACTCAGGCTAACGTTCACTGTCGAGGGGCTAGGCTTACTAGAATCAGAAGCAGCGTTCGAAAAAATTGTCTTGTTATCATTGGAGGAGCCTGACTAGATAATGTCACAAGACCATCAGGCATGTAAGTACATAATACTACACCTCGTTTATGAGTCATAAAGAAGTCGTATTACATGTTTAGTTGCAGCCCTAGCGACCATGAACTTGGCCCCCAGTACCGAGGGTCAGACGTGGATTTGGACTCAGGGGGGTGATCGCACACTTGTTGAGGGCTGTATATGGATAGTTAATCTCGAACTCGTGCTAAATACTAAGTTGTCATCAGGCTGGTGCTCATAGTAGTACTAAAGCCTACCTTCCGAGTCGCACCCTGCCGCGGCAGGCCAAATTCTGTCGAAGATCACCTCCCTCAGACTGAATATTGTTATGATTCCTTCGAGCGACTTGGGAGTGGAAGATCGCGGCCATGAAGATGATGACGGTGTAGGACATGAGCTGGCACTGGGCTCGTATCGAGCTATTTCACAGTACACGCCAAATACCCGTCACATGCTAATCACTTCCCGATGTTATCCGACGCTAACCCGCCAACCCGACGTTTAGGCCGCATCGGACCCGATGTTTTCCCGCGCACTTGTCCTATCTGTGTCCCGTCCTGTCTTGCTAGCCCCACTAGGTGTGTAGTTCATTAATTCACACATTACTCACGTCGTAGCAAGCGCTATTACATGTTTTCCCATAGTCCGCAGAACCTCATGTTTATTTACATGTACTTCGGATCCGAAATACTCCGCCGCTACTTTCGCCTACGGGTTCCGCATTTCTACGTACTTACATATATATTGGACTGACCTCGAGCATTATTCATTATCCAAGTAGAGGGGAGCAGTTCCCCGACGCTTAGTGGTCAAACCCGATATTTCGTAGTTCTTAGTTGACATTGCGAATATCATCGTTCCTTCACCGCCCGTATCGGTCATTGTTATTATTGCGCACACCGCTCGCTCTTCCGACGCTCGCTATAGCGTTACTATTAGTTTCTGACATCCCGAACCTGAACCCGATAACCCGAAACCCCGAAACCCCGAAAACATCAGACCCGACGCTTTTGCATCGGACATCGTAATTATACCTTTGGACATTGTTTCCCGCGCTCGGACTATTGACCCCACATCACTCACTTACCCCCAAGACTATTCCCAGACCGCAGACCCCTGGGTCGAACGCACTTGTCAGGCAAGTATAGCAGACTAGGCAGTGCAAAGACCACAACACAAATATATCAGTTAGGAGCAATCTTCATTAGTTCCTCTCAGTATAGTTGTTTCTACAACGGCCGCGATAATTTTCTATCCTCTCAGGCCGCCATGGACTGTGACTTGGACTTCGAACTGTGGTATGAGGAAGCCTGTGCTTCTATAGCTCAGGCTCCACCGAGCCCACTGCCACAGCATCTGAGTCCATACGATTGGAAGATGCTCCTCAGTATGTTTGACACACCCAGTGCCACCGTGACTGGCCGCAATGCTGCCACTGCTTGCCGTGAGATGGCTGGTGGTAGTCAGGGCCCGGGCCAGGACATGGTAGCCTCGCTGCAGCATTCTACACAGACCCAACTCGGAGCCACAAGTGATCATATCCACGATATACACTCTTCCGGGTTATCAACTGTACCATTACAATCATCGAGTCGATATTCCCCTTACAATTTCTCCGCCAGGCTTAATGCTCCTCACACCCGTGGCTGCAGGGCCCACCATTCTGCGGCTGCTGCTGCTGGTCTTATGATGGAGCATGATCACAACCTAACAGTGGGTGTACCAACTATGCCAGCATCACTGCTTCTGCCTGCTCCGCCATCACTGCTGGCCACTCCAGCATCACTACCACCTGCCCCAGCGTCACCACCACCTGCCCCAGCGTCACTACCGCCACCTCCTACTATAGGATCGTTGACTACTGCAACAGAATTGTTGTCCTCCCTCGTGGGCAGGTTCGGTCTCGAAGACCTACCACAGGTGAAGTTGGAGGCAAAAGATATTCTGAAATGATCAACTTTCGACAATTCCTTTTTGCTTTCAACAGAAGAAAGATCAAAGAAGGCGCTCGAAAGCCTTGCTACCACTGTTGCAGAATATAATAATCATAAGTTACAATATTCTTTTAAAAAATCTGATAACTGAAATTAAGACCAGCCGAACTTACCCAATGGGCAAAAGGGCCCGAAGCGTCGAAGGATGCCGAAACTATCTCTAACACCGTCAAGAACCTGAGGAAAAAAATAAAGGATATTGTCAGGATCACAGTTTTATATGGCTATAATTTACACGAGGCTTTGGACACTCAACCCCAGGCTGAGATAGTGCATATCATCAACGAGCTTTTGGAAAATGATGCTTTCCTGAATGGATCAATCAATGTAAGTCATTTACACCTTATTGTTCTAAGTTGAATGCTTATGGATTCATGGCTCAGGTGGGAGGACAAATGATAGTTGTGCCATTTGGCCACAGTGCATTGCGATACTTTATCAAGCACGTCCTCTTCTACAACCTCAATTTCCAGCAGTACGTCAATGATACCAACCGAAACATTGGGCCGTTACTAGCTTTCATTGGGATGTTGTTTCGGTGGGCACTTCAGGAACTGTCCACAGGTACTTTTTTGCAGAGTTCCTTTGATTTGTCCGCAGCTAGGATAGCTGTGGACGATGGGTTATCTAAGGTCTACACGGGATTGTCGAGCGAAGTACGTGACACCTTGATTGCTGATATTTACTCGGGGCAATAGAGGAGCGTCCGAAAGTCTGGTATTGCCGCTTCGTCTCAATGTATTACAATGTGTACTATCTACGTGACACTGTGGACATGATGATTGAACGTGATTTTCAAAAATAATCTCCAGTTTGACAAGTCACTAAATTAGGGCTGTCACGGTAGTCACACCATTCCAAGTGTACACTCATTTCCTCCGTCATCCACACCTCCTCATCATGTAGTAGGCTAAACACACTGGCATGTGATGGGACCATCATGATAACATAGACCCGATGCTTGCCAAGATGCACCAAAGATAATTTACGCTAGATTCATCATCTAGTCAATGGATTGGCGCTGCATCAATTTGCAGAGCCATCACTGTCACACTGTCAGTGGGAGGTCTTATTAGGATCTTTCGATCAACATGATACCTCGAATGGAAAGTCCTCAATAAATCGTTGTTATCTTCTACAAGTAGGTCTCATCCAAATCTCGCTCATCTCACTCGCTCACTCATTTCCAGTTAAAGAAGCCCTGGACGACCTAATGCCATCCATCATACCCATCACCGCCCGCGCACCAATGGAAACACTCCTCATCCAATCTAAGAGAGTTTCTACCTGCGGTAGCCCGAAACCAGTATGCATCACTATCCCGCATACAGGACCCCATGCGACCTTGATGAGTCCATTTTTTCCGGCCATCGTCGCATTAGCGCTCGAAGGATGTGCGTCCCTCTCTCTTACCAAACATAAATTGCAAACTACGATTCTCGATGACTCACTCACACTACAGACACCCTCAACATTCCCAACTACACAAGCTCCATGGGATTTGGCCAAAGATACATCCAAAAGCTCCTCAGACACTGCGGGAGCATGGACGTCGAAGACGTCGCCGAAAGCATCAGGCAACTCATTAGAAGGGACGTTTCAGAGGAAGGAAGACAGGTCGTGATAGGGGGAAGTCATGGCGGGTTTATCGCTGCTCATTGTATGTCCCCTTTTCTCTGAAACAAGTTTTTTTTTCATTCACACACTACATACACACTTCGATGACGCTCAGGCTGATGCTCACTTTCGCACACGCATACAGTGATAGGCCAGCACCCAACCTTATTCAATGCAGCATCGCTCCGCAACCCTGTCATCTGGTAAGGAATGAGCGATGGACACCATCTGTAATCCATACAATATACCACACAAAGCAACACTCGTCCAACATGGGCGTTTATCTCTCTCATCTTCGACTTTGTTCAATGTCCTTGACGTCCCTCTTTAGAGCATCAAACCTGGTTCACAATGAACAGTGATTCCTGCAACCCACCCACGCCTTCATACGAGCTCTCCCAGCAGGGCCATGACCGGAAGATCGTTGAGAAGAAACTCAGCGTACACTTCAAGGACCTTGCTCTCTTCCTCTAGTAAGCCCAGCAGACACCAAAACCAGCTGCCATTCAGCTAATTGGTCCTCTCAAAGAGGAACCAGAACACGGGGAGTATCAGGAGGTTCTCTCGCCTCCTCCACCCTTCACAGCTGTAGGTCCTTCTTTTGAGGGACCTCCGTATGAATGCTCCATGTATCATGTCAGTCACGTTCTCCCGCTGAGCCACGTATGGTTGAAGAAGGAGGAGATGCGCTGGAACTTTCTCCGCAGTTGGCCCACATCCGTGCTGTCTCGTGACCATGCTCATTAAATCATATGATACCGTTTCTCTGAGGACATCACTCAATTAAGGATAAAGACAAGGTGCGTGTATAGTCACGCGTTACAGCTTATGGCGCTCACTCGCTTGGTGAGCACTAGTTTGAGCTCTATGCTCGCAAGCTCGCTTTAGAGCTCAAACTGCACCATTCTCTGAGGACGTCACTCGATTATACATCGCAGAATGTGTACTTGCCATCGATACTGTCCATAAGCTTGGCTTCATCCACAGGTCAGCATAGCCTTCTTTCACTTTATCAGTCTTATACGTTCTCGCAGGGATATTTGTATTTGTAGTATGTATCCTGTCATCGAGAGAGATCTGAATACGTAGAAGTTGATCGAGTCCTTATGTAATGTTGTGTATTCATATTGACGTTCTATCATTTTCTATGCATGATGTTTATGTTAGGTGATTAACAGCATCAACATGACCTTGCTCCGCAAGGTAACCCACATGTTTACCGTTACCGCCAACCTGCAACAGTGCAGAGAGTCTCCCATACTTCAGTGCCCACTGGCGGGTATCACATAGTGAACTTTGAATGTGTTTCTTTCCTTGGCTTCAGATTGGTTTACCACTTCTCTTTCTCCTGCTAATGGTCACCGTGTCCTTTAGTAAGTTACGCTGCAATGCACCGGGTTGCTCCTGGGCGAAGGATACGGATCCTCGTGGGGTTAGTCGGCATCGTGCTACGTGCAGACAATACCAGAAGGCAAGTGCGTTAGCCACAGAGAAAAGGTGGGAACGAGCAAAAGAGTCAATTCAATTATCACAAAAGTTGACAAGTGGTACTACTAGTAGGAAGAGTATTTCGGTCAGTCATCTACCCCCCAGGTCACTCACTGAGTTTAGACTCATGCACCCGATGCAGCTGCTTCAACCAGTCTTCACGAAGGAACGCTGTTCGAAACCTAAAGTCCATTGCGCATTCACTGGCAAGAGCAAGGCGCCTACTACTAGCGCTGTTAATCCGCCTAGTATCGCTGCGGTCACTAGTGTTTCAGGTCTTGGTAGTACATCACAAGGTTTGGACGTTGCGATGGCAGATGCCACCGAAGGTGACTACAATATTCCAGGCGCGCACTTTTTAAATTGTCTGTTGCAATAATACTGATAGATGGTTACTAGTAGAACCACATCAAGGTCCTTTGCGGCGCACATTTGTACCAAGGAGTTTCGACAACCTTCTGCCTGCCGATGAAGACCTCAATCCCTCTGATTTTTCTGTGAACAATCTACCTGTTTGTATGACCGAGACTCAGAATCCACTGCAGCGTAGAATCCAGAGGGTTCTTTTGACACTGCGAGATACTCTCCAAACAGCATTTAATGTGATTGGGCTCTCTCGACTGTATCCTCGGCGCCCGTCATATGAACCTGATGGATTTGTTCCATCTTTACTATTAGCCAAATCATCTCCCATGATTACCGTGCAGGATACCCAAGGACCCGACCCACCTGCTGCATTCGCTGAACCTCCTCATCCCTTTCCCAACATGACCATCTATTGTCTTATGACGTGGATGAACTCCGGCAGTCATCAGAAGTCTCAGACTGAAGTGATGCACCTCGTGAAAGACGTGATACAAGCCGAAGATTTTGATCCCAAGAACCTGGATGGGTTTTCCGTTAGAAGATGCCTGCATACATTAGACAGCACCAACAACCAAGGAGCCGTCAATTTTCCCGACGATTGGGTCGAGACGGGTATCAACTTGGACATTCCTACGAAATCCACAGGTGACCAGCCCATATCGTTCAATGTTCCAGGATTTTATTACCGGCCGCTTGTAGCAGTTATTCGCTCCGCATTTGCCGACGTTCAAGCCAGCGTCTTTCATCTACTTCCTTTCAAGCATTTGTGGAAGGATTCTCTGGATGGCCGTGAAGAGTGCGTATTCGATGAGCTCTACACCTCCGACTCCTGGCTAGAGGCTCAGGACAACCTGCAGAGGCAGCCAAAAGAATCTGGCTGCTCACTCAAACGTGTCATCGCCGGGCTCATGTTCTTTTCTGATGCAACTCACCTTGCAAACTTTGGAACGGCCAAGGCTTGGCCCCTTTACCTGTACTTCGGCAATTTGAGCAAGTACACACGCTCAGCGCCCAACTCTGGTGCATGTCACCTTGTGGGATTTTTACCTTCCGTAAGCTCCTTCTCTTTACCACTGCACAACACTGTCAATGTCGTTTTTTCAGCTTCCGGATAGCATAAAGGATGTTCTTAGCAGCCTGCCTCACATGTCCAAGAGCGGCATGGCAGCTCTTCACACTCATTGTCGACGAGAGCTATTCCAGGTGTGTTGGAATGTTTTACTAGATGCTGACTTTCTGCGCGCGTACTGTCATGGCATTGTCCTTATGTGTCCGGACAGAAAGTTGAGAAGGGTCTTTCCGCGAATCTTTACTTATTCAGCTGATTATCCAGAAAAGTGCGTTCTTTCTCTTTCGTGCTTCAGATGCTGATCGTCCTTTCAGGGTTTTGATAGCAATGATCAAAGATATGGGCTCTTGCCTGTGTCCTCGCTGTCTCGTTCCAAAGGCCTCGTTTGATCTTTTAGGCCTTTTTAGAGACACGCAAGCTCGACTAGGCAAGCTTAGAGCATACTCTCTCGCGAATGTTACCAGGGCTCGCGAATTTATCTACACGTGGGGAAATACTGTTGACGGCCTGAAAGTACAGGCTACCCTTGGGGAAGGGTCGCGGGTGCCGACCATGGTGAGGCTGCATTCGGAACAAATCGCGCTGACCGACACTTAATTTTGAACAGAATGTATTCGTAGAAAAGCTTAGCCCGCTAGGGTTTGATGCTTTCCGCATGCTTGTAGTTGATTTCATGCATGAATGTGAGCTGGGCACATGGAAGGCGCTCTTTACACATCTCATTCATGTAATTTACGTGCTTCCTGGGGGCGATAATCTAGTTGCATGTCTTGATCAGCGGTTGGTTGTACTTTGTTTTCCCGTATATGAAACTGACACAATCAAACTTAGATTTCGTCAAGTTCCATCATATGGAAATGGCATCATTCGCAGATTTTCCAACAACACATCGGAAATGAAACGACTTGCCACGTGCGACTTCGAAGATATTTTGCAAGTCTGTCTTTTTCTTCTTGTGCTGATGTATGTCATATATATATATTCCAGTGCGCTATGCCTGTCTTCGAAGGGCTTTTCCCTGAAGACCACAATGCGATTGTACAGTCACTTCTGTATCGATTTGCGCATTGGCATGCCCTTGCAAAACTCCGAATGCACTCCGAAACCACTCTGTCAGCTTTGGATGACACGTTCAAAAAGCTTTCTCGTCAGTTGCGCTGATTCCGTGATTTCACGTGCACAGCATTCACCACGACAGAGCTCCCGAAAGAAAAAGCTGCTCGGGGACGTAAGTTAGCACGTGAACGCTCAGGTCTCAATGATCCGGGCACTGGGAGTGGCGGTCGAAAGGTCAAGAAGTTTAATTTGAATACCTATAAATTCCATGCCATGGGGGACTATGTGCGATCAATCCGGCTTTTTGGGACAACAGATTCCTTTACTATGCAAATTGTAGGTGAACATGTCATGTTTTCTGATCTCAATTTGATTTCAGACTAGGCAGAGTTGGTGCATAGAGCGTTGAAAGTGTTCTATCCTTTGACTAACAAATTAGACACCCCAGCTCAACTCGCTACACACGAACGCCGTTGACATGTCTCACGGCGCATAGCAGAAACGGGACAAAGTTCGTACACTATCCCGCAGATATTGCCAATCGATTCGCCTGCGGGGCTGAAAGGTCATCACTACATTCCGATACTTAGTCACAACAACCCATTCCATATCTTTACATTTCTTCGACAACACGATAACGACCCAGCTGTAGCAGTATGTACTCGTGCTATCTTTGTTCATCTTGGTCATACTAATAACTCGTAGGTGTTCATACCAAAGCTCAAAGATCATATACTATATCGGCTTCAGGGGTTAGGCGTCAGTCATTGTGACCATGTCTTCACAGAAGACGAGCGTAATACAGTCATCATCCCGGACAACAAGATATACTCCGTCCAAACAATGCAGGTAATGTGTCATGCGCATTGAAGGATTTCGCTATATAACCCACTGTTTAGGTACATTACACAACATACAACCTTCGATGAGAGTACAACACCATTAATCCTCAGACCCATTCCGACGTCATGGTCCTTTCTGGTGAAACCAAGCCCCAACATCCCTACTGGTATGCCCGCGTTCTGGGCATATTTCACATGAACGTATTACTCAACGCTGAAGGTTCAACAAAAATGCACCACATCGAAGCTCTCTATGTTAGATGGCTAGCCCCTTTGACCGGTTACTGGTCAGGGATGAATTATACTCGACTGCCGAAAGTTGCTTTCATTGAGGAGGCTGACTACGATGCATTTGGATTTCTTGATCCCAGTCAGGTCATCAGAAGTGCCCATTTGATTCCAGCTTTTGCTTCTGGACGGGGAACAAGCTCCCTTCGCTCTGGAAAGTCATTTGCATGTCAAAACGATGAATTAGATGACTGGGAGGCATACTATGTCGGCATGTAAGTGCAACTTCTAATTTCGTTTTCTTTCACTCAAGCTGCGAACCGCTCAGATTTGCAGATCGAGACATGTTCATGCGTTACACGCATTGTGGAATTGGGCATCCCACTGTCCTGCACCAGATGACAAGGGATTTCTCGAACGTGGATTCAGCAGGCCACTCAGGCTTGGAGAATGATGGGAACAATGACTGCCAGGAGAGCAATATTCAACACCTCAGCGAAGGTGACAATGAGGGTGAAGGTGACGATGACGATAGTGATGATGAGAGGGAGTTTGAAGACGTAGAGGAAATCGAGGACGAGGATGAGGATGGCGATATTTACCATTGGTCTTTCTAAACAGTCTTAACCTGACCACTTTCGAACCCATCGACAAGCCACTCACGCAGGAGTTTTGGTGTTGTGTGGCATTTTCTGAGGACAGCCAACTCATCGCGACTGACCATGAAGGTGATCTTTTTTTCACCACCCCTAGTATACGGTACTAGTCACTGTACTTCTACTCAGCACTTACGAACGGTTAACGTTTGAAAATTTGATTGGCTGTTGGAGTTTCAGAATTGTGACAGTCGAAAGGAGCCGGAGTCACGCTGACAGGCGGACTGATAACAATCTCTTCTCCATCCTTACCATATCAGTACCTCTCTTGGTTGATTGTACCCTCAGGGTTACAGTGAGAGCTGATTTTCATCCTGTCATATAGCAGAGCCAACAGTCCCCAACTTCCACTGCAGCACTGGCAGTGGCAAGCCCAAAGTTCTCACACCAACGGATGGATTTTTCGTGTTGGTATATCAGGAAGGTAATCATCATGTTTTTAGAATCATAAATCACCACTCATGCAACAAATCTAGGAGCTCGCCGTGCGGTCAGCCTGGTTCTATCGTGGTCTTTTGATCTAGAATGCACTCGGAAGCGTGAGCTTGCTGTCATCACAGGGACTATGATGCCTTGATAACGATCCTTTTAGTTAATTGCAGTCGGAATTCTCACAAAAATCTGGGACTTACAGAATCGTAACGGGATTTATTCATATGTGCTTTATACTGGTCCTGATTCTTTTTGACTGTAGGATTGTCAACTTTTTCTATATGGGCGCATCAGGGTGGGAGGGTGCGCATTGTTGGTAGCCATGTACATGTGTTATGTTGCAGTTGTTGTGGGAATACTCAAACGAGATTCTCAAATACTTTTTTTCCTCCCGGCTGCGCTTGATGAATTCCATCAATGATATTGGCAGGAAAGAGATGTACATCAAATACGTGCACCTGTAGTTTCAACCTGAACATTTTGGGCTGTAACTGTGTGATAGTCATGTTGATCAGACGCTAAGTACTTCAGACGCTAAGTACTACTACTACGGTGAGATATTTGCTTCATCCGAGTCCTCATTGTCACGCTAATTTAGATCGTGCCTTTTTTTCCCCCTTAGCATTCCTGCTGTGTTCCAACTTCCAGTAAGCTTTCACGACAAACTGGAGTTCAGCTTAGTGAGCTATGCACCTGTCTCAGTCTTGCATAGCTGCTGACTCTTTGTTCCCAAAGCGCATACTTACCTGTTATTCTGGAACTCGTTCTGGACGATTGCTCCTGTCCTTGGAATTGGTCTGTTTGATCGAATAGTTGGTAAGATCATACCGCTAAACATACGAGCTGCAGGTTTCTAATGAATTGCACAGATGCTGATGTTCTGATGGCCTTCCCTGAACTGTATTGCCATGGTTGCGAACGGACTTGGTTTTCTATGAAATCGTATCACAGGTTATTCTACATAGAGGTATATGTTACACAACCCCTGGATCTTCTGTGCTGATCGGCCACTTTCCCGGCATAGGGCGCCATCACCATGTTCTTTGGCACTCAGTGGGTATTCCAGTCCTGCGGATACCACTTTGGGATTGAAATACCGTCCTGTCTAGGTACTTGCGGTCAGCAACGATGTATTAATTTCAAGAAGGGATAGAAGTCACTCGCCTCGTTTTGCTGAAGAATCTCGGCTGAAATAGTACTTCATGCCAGTATGGAATCGAAATATTCCTCCCATTTGGACAGGACATGGCTGTGGCCCTACAAATATGTCAAACAACATCAGTAAACCAGTGAGTTCTTGCTGGGGATTATTATCTTCTTCTCACAGGTTCTCTGATGAAGGACTTGGAACTTCGTGTCATGTGGGTGCACACATGATTACCTCGTGCTCACGCTGACCCGAGGCGCAACCCCCTAGACACATTTGCCAATTGTACTACTTCTTGGCCTTCTTGATTGACAATCACTCCTCAAAACACCCTCGACAATGGATTCTGTCGTGACGTTCTTGTCAACGGTTACCAAACCTCTGACAAGTCTTAAATCGGATAAGAAGAAATCAACCGGTCAGTTTTCAATTATGGCCCCACATCAAAATCTGATGTTCATTGACAGCATCGTCAGCTGAACCTCTTAAGCTTGATGTCTCGGCAGAAGCTTATACAGATGTGAAACCCTTAGTTGTTGTCCCCCCACAAATCCCCCACTTGGTGTTATGTTTGATCATGAACATTCTTGCGGTCGGAGAATGTTCATCATGCACCTTCCAGCAGTCTCTTACCTTGATACAAAATCTCTCTCACATTCCTGACGCGCGCGATATCATCGCGCAGGAGCTTAAAGCAAAGGCACATGATTGTGGACACGCTATTATTGCTGATCTGGGTGATCTCATGAATGCCTTGACGAGTTCAGGCAATAACTTGAATGTGCCATCAGATGCTACTATTCACCCCCCTTCTATGGACATCTCTACAGTGACGAACCGTCCGGTTGGTTTGATTCGCATTGCTCGCCACTACTTTGGTGACGAGCGGATTGATATGCTATACCCGCTGCTGCCAGGCCGATTCACCCCACTTCAGTTCTACGCTCAGCCCAATACCAACATTTGCCACCGTCCCGTGGTCCTATACCTTCTGCACCACCAAAATGCATACCAAACGGTAGCTGGAATGATGCTCCCATTGTGACCAATGATCGTCGCGCCTCATCTTCACTGAATCTTCAGAAGCCCCCGGCTATAGTGTCTCCCTTCCCCAATGCTCCTTCTCCCAGAATTACGTCCCCTCCTGCTCTTGGTTCCCCACATACGGGTGGACATGGTCAGAACATTCCTCTTCCCCCTCCGCCACAGTCAACAAGCATGCAAAGTCAGGTGGCACAGCGGATGATGTACCCACCACCTCCCTCTCAGACTCAACCTCCCTCTGGGCCTCCTGCTCATCCACAGGGCATGTAACCACCCTCAAATCGGTTGATGTCTCCTGCCCAACAGCATGCTCCTCTTCCTTCTGTTGCTGGTCCATACTCGCCGTCCATGCAGCCTGCTCAGTTGCAGCCTCCTGGGCCGTATGTGCGTGCTACTTCTCCACCTGGTCCTCTACGTGGCCCTGGACAGCCACTCGGCCCACCTGGACCATACACAGCGCCTCCACCAGGACAGGCTGGTCCTCTGGCACCGCCGCCAGGTCCCTATGCACCTTCTTCCAGCCAAGCCCTACTATTCACCCCCTTCTATGGACGTCTCTACAGTGACGAACTGTCTGGTTGGCTTAATTCGCGTTGCTCGGCACTACTTTGGTGACGAGCGGATTGGATCATGATTGTGAATACAGTGTATCTCACATTTACTGATGTGCATCGGGGAGTGGAAAATCTATCCTATGGTACAGGTTACATGCATGGTGAAAGCGTTGTGAGTTCGTAAATTCACTCCAAACCATGAAGCTAATGTGCGCCTCTCAGTCCTAAGAGGTACTCGATCTCCCTCATTTCCAACTCCAACAAACGACGCTCTCTTGCGATCCACAACACCATCATGGCGCGCATCTCTTCTCCCCAAAGTGGTGGTCGTGGGAACGGTGCAAATGGTTGTTCCGGGTGATAGAGCTGTTGGCGCATGCGCGCATGTGCCATCGCCCACGTCGTGTAAAGAATGTCCTAGAAAGCATTAAATTAATTCACTTTTTGTATGTATAATTTTTCACTCACCAATGGTTCATCTGGAATGGTAAACGATACTTCGCAACAGCTCAGCAAACGATTTACACGCTGATTATTGTGATCCATTTGTGCGCGCCACGACAAGACAGATCAGCGCTGATCAACTGATCAAGGGTTCAATCGACAATGTACCTGGTTAACATCCCCGTCTCTTTCTCTATTTTCATTCCTATTCACCCAGTTTCTGAGTTCGTTTCAATAGTTCTGCATCGTGAAAGTTGAAGTTTTTGACTGCGGTCACTGAATCTTTGAATATTGAGCAGTTGGTATCTGTTGGTATCCTAATCGATTATGTGTGACAGCGTGACACATTACAAGGTGCTACAGTAGTACTACTCATCCGAATACACCATGATGGCTCCAGAGTTCTCCGGCCGTGACCTTCAACACCTTCACGCCATTGTTTGTCGTCGATCAGCTAGCGGGTATTTTGCTGTGGCTAGATGGATTCATGCGGGACTGTCGATGAATCTAAATATGCACTGGAGGAAGACTGTATCTGTTAAGGTCGTACTCTTGTAGGATCGGATCCGAAGGACTTCGGCCTCAGCTCGTATGCTGTGCCCCTTTCCCAAGTACTGTCCCTTATTTCAGAGACTAACGATAACGCGTCCGAAGGTCCGGACGGGTCTCGTAGTTATATCCGGATGACTTCCGGATATCGGAAACACGTATAAGACTAATCCGGACAGATCCGGACTAGAAACAAACAGAGTATAGACTATCCGAAGATAGAGGCGGAGACGTAGACTATTGGAATCAATCCGAAGTCTCAGAGATCGACAAGAGTTGATTAGACTCAAGTCCGGAGGACAGAAAGAGGACAAACTAAGATGATATTCGAACTGAGGTACTACAGGAAATATACACGGGTTTATATACTAAGAGGATAACGGAAGGATCAATAAGCAAAGGTCCGAGGCTATGTACGAAGCATATGCAAAGCTTATCAAACGCGAGTCGGAAATGAAGCATAGGATAACGGATCAGTAATCATACCAGTAATAAGTATAACCGAGACACCGGGAAGAGGAAATACTGAATAGGCTGTGTTTAACGTTATATGAACAGGAAATGAATTAAGAAGCTTATCGGATATCGGACCGGACACGGATCTATGCATCGGACCGGACCGGATCTAAGGGTCCGAAGTCCGGAAGAGAAGCGTGAATATATGGGATATGACAGTATCTCTGGATCCGAGTCCGTCACGGTCACCTACTAGTATACTTTGTGCTCGAATCATAATCGGGCATCACAATCTATCTCGCCCGGCTTGAGTTCATGGCAGACTCCAGAAAACGCCCCACGAGCCGTGCTCAGCGGACATCACACTCTCAAAAGTCCGGTCTGCTCATCAGCACTCTTCATCGCAGATTTGTCAAGGTTCAGATTCCTCACAGGAGCTTCCAGCATGCTCAAGCTGGACCGTAAATCGCTGTTTCCTGTTTAGTACGCGACCACGTTTAACGGATGAGTCAAAGACTCACGCTCGCACATTTCGCACTAAGCTGTTTGAAAGGAAGTCAACAGCGTCGTTGATGCCGGAGACATGAGTAAGTGCAAGTGAAGCTCTTGAACAACTGTGACACACATTAGCAAAGATTAAATCAAATGATCAAAGGGAGAGTAGAGGGACACAGACTCATCTAACATGTCAGAATATCTGGAGCGCTCGATGGTGGTGCTCAGTGGAGCCTCAAAGGGGCTCGAGTGGAGCGCGCACATGGCGTCGACATCATATTGGAAATCGCTCCGTCCTTATAAGGAGAAAAAAGCGAGGAAGAACGAGAACAGTTAGCAACATTGAGAAGAATGCGCTACCATACCTTGTGTGTTGCGATGGTGCCGTTTCACGACTTTGCGGTGAATTTTAATAGCATTGTACACCAGTGGGGCAGCGCCAAAGCGACTTCCCGCGAGAAGGTCATGGATGGCATTGGATAACATCTTAATTTAGAAGAAAAAAGAAAACAGTAAATGACGTTGAGAGGAATGTGCTACCATACCTCATGTGTTGCGATGGTGCCATGTCATGACTTTGTGATGGACTTTAATAGGAATATAAGTTGGATGAGCAGTGCCAAAGCTACTTATCACAATAATGTCTTGAACAGAGTCGTAATTCAACATCTAAATAAGGCAAAATGACAATGCTCGAAATAATTAGCACAAGCAAACTATCGCCCCCCATCTACTGCAATGGCGCAATCTGATGACATCATCGTGGATTGCTCATGTTACTCTGCATTTATGGATATCAATGGCCATGTATCTACAAGTCAATTTTCTCGCAGTATATATGACATTATTTAGCAGGAGCAGAATTGTATCCTTCTATAGTTCTCATGGTTACAATATCAAGGAATCATCAATTCACTGATGAAGGAGCAAGGTCTGTTGGCAATCTTGCATGGAATGAGACATTACCTTGTAAAGCAAGTCCAATGATGCCAGCTCGCAAGGACTGATCCGTTTTTTTCTTGGATGACGAAGCTGATAAAGATACAGGTTCAGAATTAGAGGACGAGTGCGCGAAAGATTTGAAGAAGGGTGAAAATGACGATGATAGCAAGGTTGATCATGGGACAGGGAAGGTGCTACAGATAAAAAGTAGGATCCCGACGGTTACAGAGAGTATTCAAACACATCCTGATAGTCCAAATGTGTTGTATTTTCTTAGCACAATATCACCCCTCGACGATATATGATATTGTACAGTAGCAACCCATGATCAGGAAATACAGTATTAGCACAGACTCATCACCAGTCTTACTATGTCTCAGAGATGTTGATCAAGTGCTTAGCGTCTGACAGAGTCGTGTGAGAGGCGTTTGAAATCTGCCACATGTCAGTCGCGTTGCTTTGGATAATCGTACAGCGGTTGACAACACAACATTCTTCGTTTACATCATGCAAAGTGCTTATGACATGCCTCTCAAACATCATAATGCATCGAGCAGCAGTACCGAACATTGATACATACAACTGTGACAATAAATATTTCGTCAACAAAGAAGAACACTATTTGTATGACGAACTTCGAGTCAGCGTGAGACATGGAAATTCGAATATGTCTTTCGGGGAAAATAATGATCCGCTCTGAGTCGGGTGCAACAGTCGGAGGTTACTAAAAGCTCCTGCATACATGCACTCAGTACTGCAGGATAAAGATCACATCAAAGTCATGCAGGAGGATAGGCTATTAATGACTGCTCGATGCTTAGATTCGGACTCCTTGCGAAATAAAATTGAGTTGTGCGAAAGCCTCGGGAGTTTACTGGTTTTGTTTTGTCAAGAGGGTGCTCGTAAAATCTTAGATTGTCGATAGTGGCATACAACAAAGGCGGGATGTTAACATAGCATATGATACACAGTCACTCACCGAAAAGCTATCCCACACATCCAAAAGTAGTAACGTGTGACAAACCTGTTCGAAATGTCGTTAACATGGTTTTCTCACCATATACAGTGTACTACCAGGCTCCTTCCCAGCCCCACGGTTCGAGTGTTGAGGGGTGATATATCTGAGAACTGAGACTTGAACTTGAGACATCACGTGCCATAAGAAAAATTCAAACCCAGCATAACCTTATTCCCCTCACACTCTCATCGGGGGCTGGAAGATAACATTTGTAAACAGAGGTCAGCCACAGTGACAGTGACTGCATCAGTAAACTACTGGGTTCTGTACAGTTCTGTACAGAACTGTACAGCGTGAGAGGCAGACAGCTTGGTCCCTTCTGGACAGCTTACTACAGTAACACTGTTCCCTGTCAATCCTTGTACAGACATTCACAGACACCCCAAGAACTTCATTTCTGTACACAATTCACCACAAATCTTATTGTATACTACTGTCCAGTAGCAGGTATTCTCGCACCGCTGTTCTCGCATTTAAAAATAGGCAAATCACTGCAAATATAAAACCTAAAAATAAGCAGAATCACCAAAATATATTCATTTCGCAGATAAACAGAAACATGTAGTAGTAAGTGGTAGTATAAGCGATGACAGGAACACATGAAAGCAAAACACCCGAAACCTAATCCAGAATGACTTGCAAATGATTATGCTTTGTCGTGTCCCTCCCGTCGAGCTTGCAAGACTCCGCCCTGCATGAGTTCAATGAGCGTCCGAGACTTGGTTAAATGAAGACTCACCATCCTTCTGCGGCCCACTCGCAAAGTTGCCGCATCAATTTAGGTCCGTGGTATGGGTCATTCTTGACATCCTCAAGTAGAGCAATCATTGACTGGTAGATGGTGCTGTATTCTTTAGCGGAAAATTTTGGGAACAATTTTCCATTGCCATTCTTGATAAAGCCGTCCAGGACACAATGGTACTACAAAAATCAGCTTCGATCAGTTGTTGATAGCGTATAATATAGATGAATAAAAGATACCGCAGTGCAAATCAAAGCTAGGCTGTTCAATGGTATCTCCTTCTTGAAAATATCCGGCCTCCTGCGAGCAACACGATAAGATCCAGTATATAAGAAACTGATGGCGGCCTCCCGGAGTGCAGGGTGAGCAGCATTATTAGTTTTCCCCAGTTCGTCCACACCATTGCGAAGAAAAAGTGAATCATGCAAAAGCTCCTTAGCAGTATTCTGTACCCATGTCACACGATCTTGCATAGGGACTTCGGGTGGGGGGATGAGGTTGTACATAGTGGGTGCTATGGCAACTGCTGTTTTCTTTAAATTGGAGCACCAGGTTGACAAATCTTCGTACAGCTAGGATAACAAAATATTAGAATCTGGACATGCGAGAACTGACGTACATACCAGTTTCGCCATGTCAGGCTTGTAATCAGGCCACAGACCTAGTATATGTCATCAGTAAAATGTCTTGGGAAAGAAAAGGACATACCTGGTTC